TTCATTTTTTTAATGTATATAGACTATACATAGTGTCTTTGCATTTTACCTAAAATTTATGAGGTCCAGACCACAATGTCTTCAAAACTAGTAACGGCCAGTGTTTTCATTTGTAAAACATGAGGTACCAGAGCACAAAGCAAGAGGCGATCCAGCAAGTGGACAGGGACAGAAAAGGTCCTAGAACATACATAATTGTGATGTAACCAAATATGAATAAATTTTTCAGATTAATCAGATAATTTGATCGAAACAGAGACAAATGCAGATCCCACAGACATGGTGTTTTTGTTTGGTTGGTTAGGGTTTTTGGTTGTTTGTTTTGTTTCTTTTTGTTTGTTTGCTTGCTTGCTTTTTTTAAAGAAAGCTTCCCAGGAAGGTTCAGAGACTCTGGTAGAGATTAGGGTTTGCACAATTACTAATTCTTACTAGTTGACCAGTATTTCAAAAAAGTCAACTAGTTATCTGTTCCATAGTTAAAGTCAAAACTGCTTCACGACATTGCTATTTTAGGCTGTTTTATTTGTAATGCAAAGAACACGTCTAACCGCATCTCAGTCAACAGCCACACACAGGCTACAAATTACATTCTAGCTTCAATGCTTTTTATTTTACCCGGTTTATGGGGAAAGTAAATAAATTGGTGCAATAAATGTGCACAATAATAAATCTGTTTAAAATATTAATAGGCACCTAAAAAAAAGAGAGAGAGGCAAGTTTTAAATAAAAAGAGGCAACTTTTTAAAAAGAAATCAACTTTAAATAGACTCAGTGTTAGACAACAAAACATCAACTTGAAAAAGAAGTCCACTTTAAAGAAAAAGAAGTGAACTTAAAAAAAAGACATCAACTTTAAATGAACAGAGGTCTTTTTTTTAAAAAAAAAAAAAAAAAAAAGACAAATAAAAAAGAAGTCAACTTTAAATAAAAAGAGTCAACTTAAAAAAAAGAGGTCAACTTCAATTAGAAAGAGGAAACTTTCAATAAAAAAAATAGTCCATTTTAAGCAAAAAAAAAAACCACCTTTAAATAAAGACTCAAAAACTCAAAAAGGGTCAATTTTAAATAATAAAGAGTCAAATGTAAATAAACAAAGATCAACTTTAACATTAAAAAATTCAACTTAAAAAATCTTTTTAAAAAATTAAAGTAAAAGAGGGGCAACTTTAAAAAAGATGAAATCCTAAATGGTAATGCTACTTCTCAAGGCACTATGGGAGTGAGGTACTTTGACTGGGTTTATATCCTGAGTGGAAGGTCAACAGGATTTTTTTCAAGACAATCACTGAGCAGAGCTTGACAGGTGACAGGGATACTAATGTATATGTATGTCTAATGATAGACATGATGTATCCTTTAAAGGATGGAGTAGAAGGGGATGAATTGTGCAGAGCTATAAATTGGTAGCAGCCAGCAATTGTATACGACATTATTGAACTTTTCAAGAATTACATTTTCATTTAAAGCACATTTGCAATTGAACACAAGCATCATGTGTGCATGTGAGCCTAACAGCTAAGCAACATAATAATGATGTCTATATAAAACTGCCTGTGCTTCATACTATACAATTGTCTTTATATCAGACTCTCATAGTAAAATTTGGTCTTTCTATTCCTATTGTAGATTGTCATGGAAGTGATGGACCTTTGACCCTTTGCACTTCTTAAAACACCAAAAAACTACAGATTTTCACATGTATTTTATTAATTGGTAAATAAATTGTTTAACGCAATATGCAATTGCATATTTATGTCCAGTTTATTTACACTTCCAGTTTATTTGTTTTATGTAAATAATCACAAAGCATGTGAAAATTACTGCATATTGTATAAGGGTATAGGCTTATACAGTATAGTGTAGAGGCTTATAATATTATATATTTATAATATAATATAATATAATATAATATAATATAATATAATAACTTTTTGCAGCAAGGGACCTCTTTAGCTATAAAATAAATTCCATGAACCCCCCTCAGCACACTTTTATTTCATGAATGTAATCCTATTCAAAAACTATTCAAATATTACACTCATTATTCAAATGTGTACAATAATATTCCGGCTATTTATTGGTGCCATAGAGCTTTTACTCTTGAACCTTCCATTGACAAAACACATTAGGTCCACGCTGACGTTTTTTATAAGCCTACATGTTGTGAGTTGTTGGGGCTTGGATTAAACCCATTCGAGTTAGCTGTTAAACAGGCTAACAACTATAAAATCTATATACTATCAATAATAAATATAGTAACTTTGATCAAGGTCAGTTGTGATTTCCACCAATGTAAAAAAAAAAACACTTTGAGAAACACTGAGGTAAAGAATCATCTGACATTTATGGTTTTAGGGCTAATATAACTAATGGCATTAAAAATGTCTTTGATAAACATATTATTTTAACATAGGAGGATAAAGAGAAGCAGTATAAGGATTAAATCATTGTCTGTACAAAAGCAGTCCTCCTTTAAATAGTCTGAGCAGACCATATTCTAATCGCAACTGTTTAGAATATGGTCTAAAGAGAAAAGAGACTTGAAACTAACACACACACCCCTTTTTGTTTTTTCGCCTGGAGAACATGACAATAACACTTGTGGCTTGTGATTTTAGCTGCGTTTTGAAACTTAAAGAGTTAATGTGCTGGAAAACTGCAGAATACAATAATTCAGAAGCCTTTTCACAAAAACTGATGTTGATAATAGGGTTATATGATAATAGGGTCATAGAAATCGCTTGCTTTGTTGATACACAAATTAGGTAACTGGTGAATTTTTTGACACTGTATTGGAAAATATTCACTTTCAATCTGAGAAACATGTTGAAACAGTAAGTCTAACATTGTTAAGTTGCTTGTTGGTTAAAGAGTGTTTTCAGCTGCTAATGTTTTTAATTACATTTTCAAGTAATTTCCACACCTTGTCTATTTATGTTATTTCTTATCATTTATCAATCTTTTTCAATATTATTATTATTATTATTATTATTATTATTATTATTATTCAGACATTTTCATTGAGAGCCTTTGATACACATTGTAGTAATCTGTTAGCCTAAATAAAGAGTGTGTAAATCAATACACATCAAAATACAAATTACACATGCATACAAGGTATATATGCTGAGTTTGTTGATGTATTCAAATGTATTTGAAATGAGGATTTATATTTTTGTTTCTGTGTAGTAGAAAGTTGGCAACACTTTAATTTTCATTTAAATTTTTTAATGATAGTGTGCATTGGGATTTTGTGAGTTTACAGTGCCCCGCTACCTAATCAGCCAATTATTGTCATTATTCATTCATGAAACATCCCATCTTTGTAGCTACAGTTTCAACCCCACTCTTTAGTCCTAGCTTAGGAATTGTTCAGGAAAAAAAAAAAAAATCAATTTAATGACATTTGACTTACAATTTCATCATGTTTATTACATTCAGAGTAAATATTTTTCCAATACAGTGTCAAAAATTCAGTCTCACAACTGAATGAGTGTGGTTAGTTCAAGCTATTTAAAGGAGACCTACTTTTGTACAGGTAATGATCTCTTCCTTATACTGCTTCTATCTCATCGTAATATGTTTATCAAACTGATTTATTAATGTCATTATTGATATTAGGTCTAAAAATACAAATGTCAGATGATCCTTTACTTCAGTGGTTCTCAAAGTGTTGGTCCCTGAAAAATAACCAGAGGGTCCAAACCCCATCAACTCAAAAACATGTAGGCTTATACTGTAAATAACTTCAGCTTGAACCTAATGTGTTCTGTGTATGAAAGGTTCAAGAATAAAAGCTCTTTGCCAAAAAATAGCCAGAATATTACTGGACACATTTGAATAATGAGTCTAGTATTTGAATATTTGGACTATGTTAATTTAACTATGTAAGAATTTATTCATGTCAAACTGCCTCAACTCCAGACTAGAAAATAAGGTGTCGAGCACCCTAAAGTTGAAAATTGTGTCCAACCTTCTGTTTTGTCCCTTTTGCTTTGTTAATAATGCCCAACATTTTGATCCAAGCTGTTGTAATGATATTTCTGACAAAGTTTCAGAGACAATGGCAACAAAATCAGGTATACCTTACTATATTTTACTTTCTTATTATAAAGATAATTGTTGAACTAGGCTAAATGATACGATTGCTTTTATATTGCTTTTATAGTGCTTCTTCTTGTCTTAGATTTGATTACTAGCTAGCTAGCAACCAGTTATGAACTAAGTGCAGCATTGCATGCTTGGAATGTGTTCAATTTAGCTAAAATATTCTGTAACTATATAGGAAATCCTTTAATAGTGATGTAATAATCTATCCTGTTTTCACTTAGGAAACAAAGCAACTGGTGCATACATTTAGCAAGTGAGCTCATTTAGCAAGTTAAATGTAACTGCTAGTAGCCTATAGAAAGCCATTTCCTTGGTTTAAAATAAACAGTTTCCTGTAAACCTGACAAGCTGTGTTGTTGAGTGCACAAGAAAAGCCAGTTTTACACTGTGCAATTCCAAGGAGTTTTTTTATATAATCATCTTTTAGAATTATACCTTGCCACACTAATCTAGATGATCAAAGAAACAAATTGGCAGAATTCCAAAACAGACTGTGTGATAGCAGGTTTTCCTCATGTCAGATTATACGTTGAACATCCTAGACCTACAATTAAAGAAAATGAGTATGTTCTGCCATACTGGGTGCACAGCAACCCAACACAGTTTTGTAGCTGTTTGACAGCATGAAATATTTTCATGTTGTCATAATAGTCAGCAAACTCAATGAACAAAGAATTTGCATGCTAATTAGCAAGCTACGTACCTGGAAGCTGTAATTCATCCTCTATTTCCTTCCATGGTACAGTTTGCTGATTAATGCCACATGGTGACTACCACAGAGCTAAAACTAGAGCCCACCCAACTCAAACACTGCCCACTACTCTCCTGGAAATTACCTGGCTTCTGGCCAACTAACACAACTTTTTTTTAGACTTTTCTCTTTTTTTGTAGTTCTGTAGGGTCTAGTGGTTAGGGCACTTGGTTTTCACCTCGGTTGTCTAGGTTCAAATCTCAGTATGAACAATTGGCTTTACTGTATCACCCAAGTTGAAATTAGCACAGACTTTCCTAAAGTCTTTCATTTGAAGCTCATGTAGATAATATTACTAGTCCAAATTCATCTCAGAAATATTGCTAAGCTAAGAAACATGTCACTACATGATGCAGAAAACTAGTTCACACTTTTCTTATCTCTAGGTTGTATTATTGTAATGCCCTTCTGTCCGGATGTTAGAGTAGGTGCATAAACAAGCTCCAGTTAGTCCTTACTAGAATCAGAAGTTATGACCACATCACCCCTATCTTTTCCACACTGCATTGGCTCCCAGTAAAATTTCACATCGATTAAAAAATATGACTATTGACCTTTAAGCACTGAATGATCTTGTGGCACAGTACCTGAGCAATCTTCTGGGCTTGTATTCACAAAGCTTCTTAGAATTCTCTCAGAGAGCTCCTATCTTAGCCTAAAATGTCCTAGTTGGGAGTCCTAGTCCTTCTCAGAGCAACTCTAAGTAATGAAAGTACAAAAACCTTTATCTTAGTGAGGAGGTGTGGTTGGCCCCATTGCTAGGGATGATGCAGCAATTTAAGGACTGTGATTGGTTGATAAAAAACTATCTGTAAAGGTCTTAAAATTCACTCTTTGTGAAAATAGAATATATGATAATAGAATAGACAGTGAAATTATGAAATGTTTGTATTAAGAAATTGTATAATCATACAGGCTACTTTATGCAAAGTTTCTGTTGTAGGCTAAATATTTTAAAGTTAATTAAAACAGCTAAATGTTGAAAATGTGTCTACTTTTGAAGCAACCAGTTTCCACGCAGTAGTTACTATATTTAAGTTCTTACATTTATTTACCATACTGATTTTATTACTAATCCATTTCAGATTGATGGGAGCAAAATGGCTCACCTTTTACCAATTTACATGACTGCAGGACAGTCTATTTAAGTGGCACTTTTGGATGGTATGTAGCCAACAATCCAAGAGAGATGGATGGAAGTATAAGAACAAGAAAACCAAATTGGACAGAAGAGCAGTGTTTACTTTTAGCACAGTTAGTTGAAGAAAATAAAGCAATTTTAAAAGGTAAATTTGGCTCCGGCATTACAGCTCAAGGAAAGAGACCTGGGAGAAAATATCTCAGCAGATAAACTCTTCATTCCCTCTGGTTGTGCGCACCAGCGAGGAATGTGAAAAGTAGTGGTATGTGTTGCAGTCTCAAGCCAGGAGGGAGATTGCAGCACACACACGGGATTCTTCAAGCACAGGTGAGTGATATTGCAGTTTCTTACTATATCTGGCTTGGTTAAATATGCCTACAGAACTATACAGCTAAGCTACTGTGTTTTTAGGTGGAGGACCACCCGCTAAACAACTGTCTAAGGTAGCAGAAACTGTATTTAATGTACTTGGATACTCGGAAATATCTGTCACTGGGCTGAAGAAAGGCATAGACAGCTCAGTGATCCAGCTAATGGGAATACAACAAAGGTAGGACAAGTAGGCAATAGGCAAATAAAGAGAAGTATCAAGAACAAGTGCTGTTTAATATATAGACCATGTGCCATCTTTTGTGCTCTCGCATGTGAACAACAAATAAAACAATAAATAAAAGAATTGTTTTCCGCATTTTCTGCAGCATGGAGCCGTCAGAGGAACCGGGGCCGTCAACGTCGCAGGTGTGGGACCCTCACCCTCAGCCAGTGTATCAGATAAGCCTGCCTGCTGCAGCCACCCCAACACCATCCCTGCTGGACAGAAAATTGGAGATCGAAATTGATACCCTCACACAGCACAAAAGAGTTCTCTGTTTACAGGAGGAGTATTATAAGCTAAAAATTGAGCTGCTAAAAAAATAAGAAGAATGACATATAGAAAGTGTATCACGGTGACGTGGTCTTTATAACTGCATTTGTGTTCAACTACAGTTGTATGGAATGTTTGTTCAGTAGGCTACAGACACCAGTTTGGATATTACATCAACTGTTACTTGCCTAAAATGCACGTTTGTAAATTGAGCTCTGTGATGAATCCCACTCTGGGACATGTCTCTCCCCTGGGTAAACTGAATGTCTTCATCATCATCATCTTCATCACCGTTACCATGGCTGCTTTTCGAGAGGTTCTGGGATTTGTCGGGCTTTGCAGATGTCGTGAAGCACTGCACAGGCCGTAATGACTCTGCAGGCCTTAGCTGGTGACAGGCGCACTTCTCCTTGCAACACATGAAACCTTCTCTTCAGCTGGCCAATACCCAGCTCAATTACTGAGCGTGTTTTCTTGTGGGCCCTAAAAGTCAGTGCAAAAGACATCACAAGTTAAGGTGGCATAATGCACTCAACAATAATGTGAATATGTTTGATTAAATAACCTATCTCTTGTTTGTAGTATATTCAAGCATTTTTTTAACTACATTTTATTTTCATACACATACACAATGATTCACTGTTAGTCTACTGTTTAGGTACCTGTTGTAGTTTAGCTGTGGTCCTGGGTCTGGGTGGAGGTAAGGTGTGAGGAGCCATGGTTTGCATGGATAGCCACTGTTCCCTAACAAATGACAGTTAACTGGCACATAATGTGCTTCAAAAAGCTGTCTCAGGCCACTCTCGGACAGTATCCTGGCATCATGTGTTGAGCCTGGCCATTTTGCAACAATGTCTAAAATCTTGTAGTCTGCACTGAAAACAAGTTGCACACTGCTGTGGTACCTCTTTCTGTTGACAAAAATGTCTTCATTTTCCGATGGTGCGATTATGCAGACGTGCGTCCAATCAATTACACCAACAACGTCGGGGAATCCCGCTATGTCTATGAATGCCCTTTTGTGAGCCTGCAGAGTGTGAACGTCCAGTGGAAATGACATGAACTGTGTCACTATATGAGACTGTGAAAGCGCTTCAATAGTGCGATCACTCTGCTGATGGAAGGTTGTGACAGACAGTCTTCACTACTGCACTGTTGCATTTTTTCAGTTGCCAAATATCTCAGTGTTGTAATCCCTTTTATTTCTGGCGTTATGGCATTATTACGTTGGGTGGGAGATGTGAGCGCATCTCTAATAAATTCAACCACAAACATTATCCCATCGCGATCCAATCTGTAGCATTTAATTAACTCACGATCGTTCAGTGTTTGAAGAATATTTCTTCTTTCCGCCATTTTGTCCTCTGCTATAGAAACTCTTAAGCCTCTTAAAAGTCCTCCTCTCTACTCTTAACAATTTTTACCTTAGGAGCTGTTTTTAGGGCTAAGATGTTTCATGAATCATTTTTATCTTTACTAAGATTTAGTCCTAAATTTGAGGGGAAATTCTAAGAAAACATCATAAGTCTAAGAATTTTCTTAGAATTTTGTCACTAGAAGCAACTTTTAGGCTTAGGAAGCTTTGTGAATGCGGGCCCTGGGCCCATATGTATAAAACGTCTCAGAAATGCTCTTAAGAATAGTCTTAAGCTTTGACTTAAGTGTCAAAAAAATCTTAGTAAAAAGTAGGATTTTTCTAAGAGTAGGAGACTTTTATAAAGAAGCTAAAAGTAGCTTTCAGTAAAGTCTAAGGCTGATTCTTAAGTGTTGACTCAGGTGACACTCAAGTGTTGTGAACTACGGACTACAATGATGTCAACCCAAAATGGCCACCCTTGACCTCTGAATCAGGCAATAGTGAGCCTGCAAGGGTGAAGTCACAGCAGCGTGACACCATTCATTCATGGTTTAAGACATTACAATTACTTTAATATTTAAATGTATTTATTTATTTATTTATTTATTTAAATTAATTTAGTATTATGTGCAAAGACATTACAAATAAGCGCATGCATTTATTTTACACAGTTTTGCACAATTTTAATTATGAGTTTCAACACATTAATTAAATGGACAAATGTGATGCTATTTAATTAATTAAGCTGATGAATCACAGCATTCTAAATTGCACTCATGTGTATATAAAAGAAAGACTAGAAAGTTGCAAACCATTAAAAATGAATTCTAAAAGAAAACCAAACTCGTCCAAAGAAGAAAATCTTCTTCTAGTGCAGTCAGTCCTTAAATGGAAGGAGGTGATAAGAGGAAAATTCAGTTCAAATTTAACAAGTAAGGACAAAAAAAATGCATGGCAGCACATTGCAGCGAGTGTAAATGCAGCATATTATCAGACAAGATGTTCAGCAGAGGATTGTGAGAAAAGGTGGTACAATGTTTTGGCAACAGCACGCAAGGAAATTGCAGCATACAAAGAAAGCATGCGAGCCACTGGTACATTTTATTTCAGCCTTATTATACCCTTTTTTGTATCAAATGACTGTTTACATGAGCAGCTGAGTTCTTGTCAAATAGGTGGAGGCCCTCCATGTAATCCTCTATCTGATAGAGGAGATATTGGGAATGGCCAATCCTTCCATTTGTGGCATTGCAGATGCCCCAGACCCTGCAATGCTCAAACTGAAGGAGTTACAGAGACGGTAAGAAGAAAATGATACTTGTAATAATGTGTTAGCCTTGACATTAGTTACTTTATTCTATGGACGTGGGGAAAAAAAATACACATCGGACTCAATAAACCTGTTTGCACTCTTTAATATTTTCTGCATGTGAATGTAGTGTGGATGATGTTGGAGCCGGTCCATTCGACGCATCTTCTCCTGTATCATCTCAGGACATCTCCCCGTGTCCTCCAGATGAGCCTTCTCCCTCACAAGACACAGGGTTTGCACAGAGTGCAGTCCCTGAGGATGCTGAGTGTCTTAAATGCTTTGTAATGTGTGGTCAGTGGTATTGTCATCATTCTCATCATAATCATGATCACTGTCATCATCATCATGATGATCATCATCATCATCAGTAAGCAGTAGGAGGTTACGTGCTTTGCAAATATTGTGCAAAATGCCACAAGCCCTACTAAGCTAAGCACACTCAGGGGAGTGTCGAATCTCTCCATGAAGGATGTGGAATCTCCTTTTCAGCTGTCCAATTCCTCTCTCCACCACAGCTCTTGTTAGTTTGTGTGCTCT